TTTACTCAGAACAGCTCTTTTGCTGTTTTTCTTCCAAAAATGAAAAAGCCAAAGACTATAGCAGAATCTAAGTATAGGTAACATTCAATATACTGTTACTAGGCTTCTGTGTACCCATACTAGAATTGTGTGAAAATGTCAGTGTTTTTTTATCTTCATTTCCCCCTCCTGCTTTCTTGATCTATTAATTATTTTGTCATACTTTATAGAACAGCTCTTTTGCTGTTTTTCTTCCAAAAATGAAAAAGCCAAAGACTATAGCAGAATCTAAGTATAGGTAACATTCAATATACTGTTACTAGGCTTCTGTGTACCCATACTAGAATTGTGTGAAAATGTCAGTGTTTTTTTATCTTCATTTCCCCCTCCTGCTTTCTTGATCTATTAATTATTTTGTCATACTTTATACTATTGTTAGACATGTTGAATATGTCCTTTCCACTTCAGTCTGACAATCTTAATTTAATTTCTCTTGGTTCTGTTACAATACAAGTTAATGGTTTTGTTTGTAAAATATTTGGGGGATAAGGCCAAAATACATTCCTTTGAAACTTTATATGAAAAAGAACATTTTTTTTCTTAACGGATCAGTTAAACATATAGTAGAGTAGTTATGCTGCTTGTAATTTTAAATAGCAGCATGTGGCAGAAGCTTGCCAGAAATTTGCGTGGATCAAATGTGATAGAGTCTGTTGATACCAAACAAAACACTTATGAATGTTCAGCATGAGCAGCCTTTCAAGATTTCCATTATATTTTTCTGAGAAAATTGGTCTCAAGCTTGTCATTATTTCCAGCTAAGTTTTTTAGAATTTTGTAACTTCAAGAACAGGAATTTGGACGAATGACTGTTGTGATTCAGGTCTTTTTGAAACTGAAACAGCCCCAGCTGTATTCATGCCCCATGGAAAGAATAAGAGGTGTCTTTAATAGACTAAAGTTATTCAGTGTATTTACATTTCTGACACCTAGCAGTGGATGATCTTAGTACCAGATAAGCACGAGATGTAAAATCTTTATTTTATGAGAAATGCATATTGAAACTGGGGGAACTTGCCAGTTCACCAGAATGCATATTAGGGCAGTGAAGTTATTAAAATACTGTATTTTAGTACAAATTCTTTTAATTTGGAAGAACCATGTACTCATTTCCTCCCCTTTACATAGATTCTATTCGAATGAGCATAATTTGTGAATGCTGTAATAGGTTGCTGTGACACATAAATCTTCATCCTACTGCCATGACTGCAGTCATGCACTGTTTACATCTTGGCGGTCTGTAAAAGACCTATGAACGTCAGAACAGAAGTGTTTGAGGGTCTAATTCCTGGACATAAGCATTGACCATTGCTCTTAACATAAGAGTCTTAAGTGTTGAGTGAACAGACAATGAATCACCCTGAAGATTATCATTCTGTTCTACAAATTCTATCAAGTAGGAACTGGTAGTCGATGACAAAGATGTAAATGTCGTCCAGACAATTTATCGTGGACAGAGCTTTTTCATTCAATTTTTTAAAAACCCTGATACACAATCTTCATTAATTTTGTGCTAATGTTTATTAAATGTGGTGTTACCTTGATTATTGTTTGCCTTGATGCAGGGGTGGGGTGTTCCTACCCAGATGTAGCTTTTGTTACCATCCTCATTTAAGTAAGACCAGTCAGTCTAAAACATATGGTTAAATGATCTTCTGCAAAGAAACCAACTTTGTGATTTATTTTGTAATTTATTCTGGAAATGCAGAGGTCACTCAAGCTGTGATGTGCCAGTGTTGGAGGACAGGCATCTAAAAATGCTTTTAAAGTTGCAGTTCTCAAAAAATTTTCTCTGACTGGGAAAAAAGCCCAAACCCCTAAACCCCGAAGAGATACTTCATAACATTCTCTTCCGCTGAAAGGTTGTTGCAAATCTCTTTTTAGGGGACAAGAATAGTTCAAGTAAGACTTGAGCATTTTGATTAATTTTGTTTCAGGTGATTAAGACTGAGATACTGAATTTCTTGAGAGATTGTATTTAATTTACACATGGGCAGACACTTTTTCAAGTCCCCTCTATAGAATTTGGAATATTCTTCAGAAACTAAAGAAACACTATTAAGTATTCAATAGTTAGATAACTTGAGCAAAAATAAATAGTAGCCCAAGGAAGGAGGTTGTCAGTGAGGGTTTTGTTTTTTCACGCTAAAATTTATGCTTGGTTGCTTAAAATTTGTGCCACTATTCTGCTTTAGAACATCACTTGAGTAAAACCCACTTCTTCCATGCAGACTACTGCCGAGGTTTTGTTAAGTTAATGCCTCAAATTCCTGCTCCCATATTTACTTTGGAGATACTATTGAACTTGAGATACAGATGCACATTTGCAGCATCAGGTCATGTGGGCTGTTCTGGAAATGTACATAGAGTTCGCATTTATTTTAGTCAGCAGTGGCTTGTGGAAAATGATGAAAAATCAATGGCACGTCATTTCTGTCATGGAACAGGTGTTGAAATGATAGGAAAATCGAATATTGATAGTTAAGGAAAATACGTCTACAACCAAGGTACTAGGAAACTGTCCAGATAAATATAAATACCCTTCTGGAAGATTAGCAAAATTCTGACAGTGAGTGAAATAATTTTATAAGTAGTAGGTTTTCCTAAGAGTTCTGATTATCCTTGCAGGTAAGGATACAAAGTATTTGGAAAAAAGATTTTGATCTGATTGGAGCCTACAGTACTTTTAATTAAAAATGATTGGCTTCTATTTATTTGCTTTACAAGTGCTATTGTTTTAAAATTGATGGTTAAATAAATATGTTGCCAAGCACATTTTCTACCAAAAGTCTTTTGTCCTCAAGGGAAGTTTTGTGATAATAGAAGCCTTTCTAAGGATATGAAGCAGGGAAGCATTGTATATGCTAAAATTCAGCATACATTCTGGGTTCAGAAAGCATTATTTTTCTCCCTTATGGTTTGGTTTCTAGCCTGAAACTTGGAATATTTTGTGAAGGAGGGAATTGTCTTTGGGAGTATAGGAAATACCCCTAGTATATTTTGAGAATTTTAAATTCTCAGGCATACATGGAAACTTCATAAGAAGATTTTACCACTGATCTCAGGGACCTGGGATTCCCCAAAGACAAGTTCTTCGAGGAAAGACTGAGGTGAAAAAGGCATTGAGAAAGCTTCTTCTGTGTCCTGGTCACCAGATCACTGCCTCACGCAGCGCTGGTCCCACATTTTGCCTAGTTTTCCTTTTGCTTGTGATGTACTTCTGGAAGTTTTCCTGTTGCTCTTCACATCCCTTGCCAGATTCGATTTAGGTGGATTTTGGCATCCCAAAACATACCCTTTTAGTCCTTAACAACGTCTCTGTATTTTCCCAGGTCACTCTGTCTGATCCTCCTTTTTTATGCTTCCTGTGAATATTTGAATTTAGTCAGGAGCTCTGTGTATTGAAACAAACCTCCTGTCTTTGATTTTCAACATTATTTTCAAGGATCACTTCCAAGGTCAAGAATGGTCCATCCCGATGTGCAGGAAGTCAAGCACAGTCAGCAGAAGACTTCACAACTCCTCTTCCACCTGTTTCTACTAATGGGGCCCGTGAGGCAAACTGTCTTTAAGTAAAGGCTTTAACAATTTGTCACCTGAGTTTCCTTTTGAAGTAATCTAGGAAACACACCTGTACCTTTCCATTGCTTTTACAGGAATGGCATTCCCTAACATAAACACGATGACAGATAGACTTGTTGAGAAGGATGTAATCACATCTCCTGGAATAGATGAATCTGACAGCTGGAATTGATTATGTTTGACTTCTATACTAATGGACTCCATTTTCCTTTTTGAAGTAAAGTGTTGTGCATACTCCCTGTGTTTGTGCAGACTGAAGGAAAGAAAACTAAGTGGCTTATAGCTACTGCTGTGAGCTGTCTAATGGGTGCTTATGGAGAAAGTGTTGCTAGGTCTGTGCAGTGGAAGTATGCAAGAAAACAGAAAGGGAAATAGTAATTACCTGTAAGGGGTAAAAAAAACCCTTCATGGTGAGAATTGTGAGATATTGGAGCAGGTTGCCTGGAGGGATTGTTGAAATACCATATTTGAGAATACTCAATACTTGACTGGACAAGACTCAGAGCAAACTTCGATCATGCCCTCTTCTGAGTGAGGAGTGGGACCAGATGACCTCCACAGATCCTGTCAGCTTGAATTGTTCCATGATATTATGGCTTTATACATTCTTATTATACAGCTGTCAGTGAGACATAAGAAATTAGATAAATATTAGACCATTTTGAACTGTTAACCTGTGTCTGGATTTTCAGCACTGTAATTTACAGCATTTTTTCTTCAGTTTCTGATAGTGGGGACAGTGATTGAAAAGGGAAGTTAGAAAGGAAAGATACTGAATACTTGGCAGCTCAAGTGTAGAGAAACTGGTTAGTCTAAGGAATTTCCTTTTGATTTTTATTGCTGCTGAAATAGAGACTGAAATTGGCTTAGGGAGTATAGATGCAATTGACAAATAAAGCACAGAGAAGTGGTGTAGGCTGAATAGATTGGAATACACTGACTAAATTACAGTAAATTAACTAAACAAAATGAAAAAATTGGATGAGGAGATTGAAAAAAAATTCCCACATTTGACTTTTCCATGGGAAAAAGTTTTTCTGGGAAGATTTAGTCTGACCTGCTCAGTGTTGGAGTGGTTTATGTAAGAGTATTTATTTTATTATGATGTTATCATATTGTTATAATTTCTGATTTGTTATATGTGAGGTCTTTGAGATGATGTCAGTACATGAGAGTAAATTATTTTAATGTGCTTGCATCCCATGAAATATTTTTACTGGATCTCAGCATTTACAAGCTCTATTTATATAGATAATTTTCTTGAGTAAGAATTAAATCTTAGTTATTTTTCAATATATAGAAGTGGTTTGGAAATTCTTCATGAAGTGTAGTACAAACTCGCACACAAGGAAAGGCGTGTAAATGCTACAGGGGACCTAACATTGAAATACACATATGAATAATATATTAGTTGATATACAGTACATATAATTAAAATTGAAAGAGTAAAGCAAATTTATAAAATATTTAAACTGAATAGTGAAGAACACTGCAGAGAATTAAATGCGTTTCTTGGTTTTTCATCCTGACAGTTATATGCTACCAATATGTAACAGTTTTCCTGGGGAGGATGTTTCCCACACTTGAGAAATTGCCTGGATCCTTAGACATGCAGTGAAGCACAGCTAAAGCAATAGTTTATAGATGTGTTAGAAAACAGTAGGATTTTGCTCAATAAAAAAAGATTAACCTTCCATTCCCAAGCAGAAATGGAAATTACTCCAATAGGTGACAGAATTTAGAACGTAAATAACTTGAGCAATTAAAAGTAATGAGATATCTTCTAGTATAACCTTTGTCAGAAGAAAACCATGAAGTTATTTAAAGCTAGTTTCCTCTTGAATTTGGGGCGGGGAAGAGGTGGTTATTTTTTGTTTGCTGTTGCTGATTTTGGGCTTTGTTTTCTAGTGCTGAGATGTATTACTTTTTGTCAGTCAGCAGCTAAAACCGTACATTTCTTTGAGAAGTCAAAACTACATATACCCAAAAGGACCTTGGGCTTGTCTGGAATTACGGATGCATATCCTTGAGAATTGCAATTTATACTATCAGATATAATTCGAAGGAATGGTCTTTCTATTGTAGTGATTAAAAAATAAACCTGTCGTAGTACCTTTCTGCCCTCCAAATAAATCCAGTGTCTTGATTGGAACAATAGACTGCACGTAGTGGACAGCTTTCTATAAGAAAATGCAGGGGTAGGAGCTGAAGAACTCTGCTGTTTTATATTCCATGCATAAGGAAGAGGTTTTGGTATTGAAGAAATCACTATCTAGCATGGAAAATATTAACAATTGAAGTAGGCAGATTTACAATGAGAATAGGTGTGGGATTTGACTGAGTGCCAAATCATGGATTTCTAGCCTGTCTGCCAGTAGTTTGGTGTCTTTCTGGATGCCCTTGTAGGGTGTAACAGGAGATTTCATTGCTTGCACAAATGGGCAGCAGTTAATGTTGATTAAGATATTTTTAAACCAGAAGATGATTATGACTGCGTTTTTGTACAATGATCTTTTCTTTTTCTTTTGAGTACCTGAAACCTTTAGTTTTACTTTTAAGTGTTTTAGAGTTCTGTGTTACTTATTTCTTAGGTCTTTTGGCTCAAGAAAAGGAATAATAAGAAGTGTAGCAGGAATTTAAGTTAAAAGGGAACGAATATACCATTGTGATGTGTACTTTTTCTGTTTACTATTTTAATGTGTTTCTTCCTCCCCCCCCCGCGTCTTGTCTGTATCTCCTGTCAAATAAAGGCCAAGAAACACCAGGTCTTTCTAACAGAGACGTATGAAAACAACATGAGAGAGCTGGAGTTACTCTTGGACAGCTTTGCTATGTCAGGCCAGCGGACAGCAGGTTAGTTGAAGGTATAAAATGACAGATGCATCTGTCAATGTTCCAAAGTCACTACATTGTGGGAATTCTGCAGATGCCTCTTGCATTCCCTCTTCTCAACATGCTTTGATTTGATGACATGATAAGAGCAGTTCTCACAGCAGTCAAATGGCCTTGCTAGCTGAGAAAGGGTGACGGAATGTGGACCTGCTGTTGTCAGCCCAGAGCTTGATTTACAAATGCTGGGGTGTATATGATCGGTCAGAAAAGGGCTCACTTGCTGTGCTCTAAATCCAACTGAGAAAAAAGTCCTTACAGTATACCTGCAAAGGGAACAGATGTTTTGCCTGAACTGAGCCAAATTCTGAGGCAACCTTCAGCAACTTAAAGGTCATATATTCAAAAAGGTTGTGTAGGACACATGATATAACACAATACTTTTTACTGTTGGTTATGGACCAGTACTATGTTGCATTCATTTGATCTAATGCAGGACAAATATTTCTCTGTTTTCGTTAAAATTAATTGTAAGTCAGTGGCTGTCACTCTGCAAACTAGCTTTATATATAATTGTTGTATCAAACTTAAACTGCTGCCTGCTTAGATGTTTGGAATAGTGTCTAACATAAGCTGAGCTTTAACATCAAAGCTAGTAATGTTTGTCAAGTGAAAGTAGTACACTTTCTAAAATGTTCGTTTAAAACTATGTATAAAAGATATCTCCATGTGATTCCTGTTAGAAAAATCACGTAGTAAACACAAAATGCTTTCAACTTAGTGAAAGTAAAGTGGAAGAAAACAGACAAAATGTGGCTTAAAGAGTAAATTGGTTTATTTTATGTAAATCATGATATGTTTTGTCAGTTTTTAGCAATAAATAATAAATAGCATAAATGGGTCATATAACACCTTTAAATGAAGATGCATGTTTTGTATGTTCATAAAAAGATGTGTTTTGATTTGGTTTTTTTTGTAGGGCCCAGTATTTTTGAAATTCAATAAAGGAACAACTTTTTGAGATTCCTGTTGTCGTTAGGAGTCTAGCCTTGAATCTGTGATGCATTGATTTTCTCACACAGGCTATATGATATTTTTTTTTTGCTTTTATTTGGGAACTGGTATCAGTTTTATTCTGTAATTATAAATGTAATTCCCATGGGTAGTACCTGTAAGTTTACTGTAGATACATCAGTCTGAAAAGCTCTTTCAGACTGTATGTTTTCCACAGTCTTGCAAAGTTCCACGTGCCCAGAGGGACTTAAGGAATTCTGCAGGGAGCTGGATGCTGCTGCCAAAGTGCAGTTTCCAAAACAATAATTGTCTTTTGCGTAGGTTTTCCGTTCTCCCTGATGGTAAACCTTGCAGAGAACAGCTTTGACCTGCTTTTGTAATATTAGGGATTCAGTAACAGTAACTTCAGTATTAATTTGCTTTGTTTGTGGTAAACTTCGAAAAATCTTGTTTTAAAGCGATCTCTTTTTTTAAGCTTTAGCATCTCTGCAGAGGCTCAATTGAAGCAGATAATAAAATGAAGCTCTGCTGTGGATTGAGTCTTTACAGCTAATATTATAATAGACATTGGCTAAGACATTTGTTCTACAAATTTACTGTGCTTCTAAGTGCAAAACTTAATTTTTAATGTGATTGCATTATTATATTATTACTCTGGTGTACCTATGAATTTGTTATGTAACAGTATTTCTTCAAATGTAAAAAAAGTATTTATTGTATTTCTATTTGAAATGGGAGTGCCGAGGTTCCGATAGAAGTAAAAATCTTAAATAAATCTTTGCAGTCTAATTAGCAGATGAGGGGTTACATGAGCCATAGCTGACCAGGCAGTCTTTCTTGGTTTTGTTTTCAATTTTCAACGCAGGTGGTTGAGAAATCCACTTAAAAATCTGTCAATATTAAAGATTCAGCCCCTTAAATTAAGTGCTGATTGGGCTGTCATTATTTGGATATACAGGTAAGTGGAGATAAGACTTTATATTTTTTGAGATTAAAAATCAAAGAATTTTAGAAAGCTATTTTTTTCTTTATACATGCCAAAATAACATCCCAAATGCATGTCTTCTCCTTTTTAGTGACCTTTATAAATTTTCCACAGCATTGTTACTCTTATTGGGCAGTCTGCATTATATCACTTTGTTTGGTTTGTGATTTTTCACAGTTATGAAGCAGCAGGGTTTGTTCTCAGGCAAGTTTGTCTTCCTTTCAAGTTAAAAATAATTGTGGTTGGAATAATCTGGAAAAAAAAAAAAAGAGTATGAAGTTCTGAGTGTATTACCTGCTTTGAGTTAACATCACCACTTAATGCAGGTGACCAGTAATGTTTTGGTCAAAAATCCAATACTCAGCATCATATGAGCTGCTATGAGGAAAATTAACTGTCCTAGAACTGCTAGCAGAAAGTCTGCAGCAGCAGGTTTAAGAGTTTACTCACTTGTATACTTCCTATTAGAGTCCTGTTGAACTTGGCATTTTCTGAAAATTTTTCCCTCAAACTCTTAGGTGACATTGGGTATATGCTTCAAATACTGGGTTTTTTTTCCCTCTCTTAATGGTGGCATAGTGCCTCTCGAGCAATAGAGTGCTGTTTGGATTATGTTTTATGAAGACAGACAGCATTTGGCCAGTGTCAAAGCCATAGGCTTGTTTTCATCTGGTGCAGAAAGGTTGAGTATGGTATTTCTGTTGGCAGACCGGGCTGCCTAGAAATAGGGCTACAGCAATGGCAAGGGATGACACCATGGCAAGTTTACTGGGAAAAGTCTAGTTTGGGCAAACATGATGTAAATTAGTGTTTCAGTGACAGCATTGCAGGTTGGGACTTAAGAGATGAAGATACATTATTTTGGCAGTGTGATAAAAATGATGGGATGGAAGATCGCCCATGGATTGACTTAGTGGGTATTATTTTACACTGAATGAGAATTGTGAGTTACCACTTCCCTAGAGCTACAAGTGTGGAAGAATAGTAGTTTGTTTTTTCTGTGGAACAAGATCACTTCAAAATGTTCCTACAGTGGGTAGGAGCAGGAAGTTGATACTGTAATTAAGAAGACCAGACTAGAGCCCTGCGCGTAACTGTAGCTGTGGTTAAGTGCTAAAAAATGATGGTAAGGTGTCCTTTGTCTCTTTCTTCAGTGTGAAATCTAAACTTCTCAAAAAAGGTCAGATTTTATGAATTCTTCTAAGGTTGATTCTAAATGTAACATTGCTATTTGGGACATCTCTAGGACTCAGAGTGCTCTGGAGTCTTGTTAAGAAGATTTTGCTTTTTGCAGACAGTAGACCTTTAGAAACTATGGTAAATAGATGTCCACTGGAATGGCTGATAGGACAGAGCCTGTCTGTCACTGGGATGTGTGTTCTTTTGAAATTCACTGGCGTGCTGTAAAGCAAATCTTGCTTCTGTTGGTGAAAGCAGTCTTGCAAATCTGTGTTGCCTTGACTAGGCGTCTTTGACAGTAACAGTTGGTTGGCAAGTCAGAGGGAAAAGTTAATGTCCCACCTGAATAGCACTCTGTACTTTCTGGTATTATTAAAATGTTGGGAGAGAAGAGGCTAACTCATTGAAAAAAATTTTAGAACAGCTGTTGGCAGAACTTACTCACCTGTGCTTTACATACAGCCTACAGAAGGAATCCCATCATTTTTATACAATGCTCTGAGTAGAATATCATGCTTATTGTGTAACACTAGTCACAGAATTCTGGAAAAAACTCCAACCTACAAGTGTGTCAGTGTACCTCCTCCAGCTGACAAAGTTTTACGAAGAACCAAAGAAAAGGCTTAGAATTTTGTATTTGATTTGACTTATGAGCCACTCTAGGTAAATTGCTTAGTGACACTGATGATAAACACCTGTATCATTGTTAGTTCTCCTGGGAGTTATGATTGTTTGTCCTCTCTGGATTTCAAATACCACAGATTTTTTTACTTTTTGCAAAATAAGTCTTCTATTAGCATTGATAAAGTTAGTTTTGCTTACAGAACATGTTAAGCTGCATGGAAAAGTTGATACTATAATTTGTTCCAAAATGAGTTTATAAATGCTGCATGCTAATATTAACAACATTGAGAAGAATGATCTGTCAATAACCTGGTATTGTGGTGTAACACCAGAAAAAAAATAGAATAGTTTGTTCTTGGAAACTGAATATCATCTGACCTCTTGTGACCTCTTGATCAATACAGTGTTGTTTTGCTTTCTTAGCACATTGTACTATGGGCTTTGGAATGCTCAGACTTGTTCATATGTCCCTAATTAAGGCAAGTAGATCAGAAGTCTCAGTCTAAAGGTTTAGTAAGTCAGTGTAGTGTGTATATAATGGGTATATCAGATTTATAATTGAAATGTTATGTAGGACTCTGCAGACAGATAATAGTTTTTTTTATTATTTCCTTTGGAATGAAATTCAAGATAATTTAAAACGTTTTTAAGTCCTCTCCAAGCATAACATAATCATGTGATCTTCGGCTCAGTAAAGCTTTAAGTAAATGAATTACTGCATTATAATATGCATGCTTAGTCACAACAGCAAAATAATGTCAGGAGGAGTGTAACATACTTTCAGGCAACATGTTTTTCAAAGTGTGTAATTGTGTGGTTTGAAAGTTGGCTTGTCTGGCTGAACGACACAGGCTTGACCACAGTGGAAATTACATGTGAGACTGCATACCAGATACATTAGGTAGAAATGTAATCCAGAATTTACAGTTCTGTATCTTGATTTAAAGCTTTTACACAAGTGTCTTTCAGCTGTATTTACAGCAAAAGTGTGGCTATTCAGCTGCATCTCTTGTGGCAAACGAGGCTGCTGTTTAGTGTTTTGTATTGTCACTGAAGCCCTAACTAATTTTAATACCTCTCATCCAGGGTGAGTAGTTTTCTTGCTGTGGCCTTAAGGCTTAATTTTCATTCTGTGTTTTTCTTCAGGCACTTGTAAGGACAAAGATAAACCTCTGAGCTGCTCTGTCATTGAGACTTTGAGGTGTACCTTGACAGCTTACCAGAAGAAGCTGGAAGATACATCTAATGAGGTAACACTTGCAATGTTTGGCTCTATATGTATTGCATTTGGCCTGCAGCAGTACATACGCTTTGCTTGTAAAAAAGGGCAGAAGAGTGTGAATGTTGAGTTGACAGCTTCAAGTATACCCAAAGAAATAATCTCTGTCACTGCTCTTTCGCTAAGGTCGCCCTACAGTGAAGTTTCACTTACAATTGTGTGGACAGGGCAAAGAGGTTTTTTTATTTCTAGCTTAATTTGGGTTTGTTTTCTTGTTAAATCTTTTGGGTTTATTTTCAATAAACATTTAGAATAACAAGCCATTCATATCTAGGATTTTAGGTAAAAGATGATTTAGGAGTGTGGCAGCGTATACCACAGTATTCCAAAATACATATTGCTTGAGCCTCAACAGTCATTGCTGTCTGTTATGTAAATGGTCATGTCCCTGTACTTTTAAAAAGCAGTATAATTTTCTAAAGAGTGTGGTTTTGATGGAATCTAATTTGGTGCTGTTTTGCAGTCCTTTCAGTTAAAATAGGACTGTTTCAATACTTTCTCTAAGTTATCTATGACAATGATGGAAATATTTCTATGTTTGAAATCTTACCCTTGAAAAAAGTCAGATGTTTCCATGTGGTCCTACTGTCCTTTTATTTCACTGACTGAGAAGGCATTCTTGCATTTATTTTATTGTTTGTCTTGCTAATGTGATTAAATTACTCTTCTCACATGTAAATGCTTTATGAATTTGTGACTTTAAAGGCTGTAGAGAGAAGTTAACGGCACCATTAAAGCTCTTTGTACAAACTTGTAATTAGGTTGAATAAAACTGGCAAATACAGAAAAGCAAGATGTGATAAGATTGTTAAAATGCCCGGTACCACATATATATAATTTCTACGTTCTGTCTTCTGTTTAGAAAATCGCATAGTCTATCTAGTCACTCACAACATTTTTAAAAAAGGAAAAAAAAAGAAAAATGTATATCAGCTTTGCCCCTTTTGTCGGGAAAAGAACAGTCTCCCCCAAGACCTTTGAGTTTGTTCAATGGGCACAAAAACAAGTGACCATGGAAACAATTATACTTTTTAAACAGTAAGCACAGTTAAGTCTCTCCCAGTGAGATAAGAGAACTGATGTGTATAGTCATTATGAAACTCTTCTGAGACACAAGTCTGGAAGCTGAAGAGTAACTAGGAACATATTACCCACAGCGAATTGTTATTTGGGAGGAGGAACATCACGTGATAGGCAGCACAGTTGAAAAGTCGACTCAGCAGGCTTTGGCTTAGTGATGTGCTTTGTTGTGAAACTGTGCCAGAGACAGCAGTGGGGAGACCAAGGGGGTGGCTTCTAAGAAAGCAAAGAGAGTGTTCTGACAGAAAGAAGAATGAACTGTCAAGGAAAATAAATCGCAAGCAGAGCAGGACCAACAGATGACCTGCCACAAGACTTCCCAGTAGGACTGCATGTGACTGACCCTGAAGTTGTCATATGGAGCCAGAGATCACTGAGCACCTTCAAGGTGCACAGAAAGGGCAGTGCTCTGTCCTTCTTGATTACCCCTGCCCCCACAGAGAATGCTGCTTTTGGCTTTTTATATGTTAGATATGTTTAATAATAAAACTTTTTAATAATACAATAATGCACAAGGGGACTATGAAGGGCACTGTGCAATAAGAACAGGATGTTTTAATACACAGCAATAAGGGTTTAGTTTTGAGCAATTATTACCAGTTGTTTTCATGGAGAGATTTTCAACAAGACCCCACATATTGATGAATTTAATAATATATATGTACACCTGTAAGTATACGTGAAATATACTGGTAAACTGGTCATGTATCATCTTTAATTTATTGTGTTAAACCTTACATTAAATAACCTAGTTCATTTGTGTGACTGAAAGGTGTATAAGTGTTTTGGTTTTTTTAGATAACTATCTTTTAACTTTCTTTATAGTGCAGGTACTAGAATATGTTTGGGGAAAGGGAAAAGACTACTGAACCAACAAAAAGACTGGAAATATACCAGTGGCATTTTGTAATTTACTGCAATTATTTCTAAGGATTCTGCTTGGTCTCGTGAGATTGAGCAAAAATGCAACTTGCAAAGTAATTTGGAAAATTTAATTAATTAACTTGTAAATTTTGTGAATGGGGCATTTTACTTTGGAGTTGCTTCTTAAATCTCAGGTGCTGGCAGTAACCTGTACTAGAATACGTTTCTATTCAATGCTTTCTTTCCAACATTGGTATTATTAACCTCATCGTCTGGAACCAAAGATACAAATTATTATGATATGTTGTTATATTTTTTCAAAGCAGAAAGTGACACTAGTACACATTATGGTCATGAGCTACCTCTAAGGTGGTTGCCTGTAACTATACAAACAGTTCAGTAGTCACCATGCCTGGTGCCTTTTACAGTCTGTGAGTACTATGCAGTGCTCAGTAAAGAGACCATGCTTGTAGCTGCACAATTTCTGCACATGGCAATAGACTTGAAAACTTGGTTTCTCAAACCACTCCCCAGATCATAATCTGAATTTATTACATTTTCAAGGGCATTTCAGTGTCCATGTTTTTTGCGGATATTTTGAGAGTTAATAGGATCGTTAATAGTGGACTCTGTTTGGGATTCTGCCACTACTCTTTTATCTTAAATCATTATAGAAGAGTTATTTAGTGTTTTTGTAATGGCACATTATCTAGATTGTGTAGAGTACAAATACTGTCAAAGGAATTCAAATAAATTTTGTCTTTTCACTTTTCTATACAAAATTTTTCCTTTATATTGAAATGGTCATGCAGCTGTTCTGTAAAAGCCTGATTGACCTCCATGTTTTTCACAGTTTGAGAAAACAAAGGCTTCATGTGAAAAGATGACAAAAGAACTGGAGATATCCAAGGAGGAAATGTGTGCTTTAAGACAAGACCTTAAGGTATGGTTTCATGAATTCAACATAAAATTTGAAAGTTATGCAAAAAAGTGTCTTTCGGGATTTGAGTTATCTCTTTTCCCTTATCAGAATAAGTATCTGTATGATTGTATTCTGTTGAGCAGATGAGTTTACCTTGCAGGTTTGTGTGAAGCCATGCTGCTTTATTCTGTAACTGCAGACTATGTAACCGATCATTCCAGTGATAGCACTTCTGAAATAATTTGCAATAGATTTATCAATTTGCAAAATACTGTTTCATATTGAGATCAGCATCAGTAATTTTAACTGCTTTTTCTCAAGAATAGGAGAGTTTAGTTACCTCTGTTCATATGAAAGTATACTTTTAATAAAACTTTTCTGTTAATTTTTTTCATTGCTTGTGTTTATCAGAAAGGTTAGTGCATGTGTGAAGCATCAGGTTGTGTTTAACAGCTTTATGATGTGCAGCCTAAAGGTTTTTAGAACAAAATCTACCCGAGAACTGATAAAAACACTTGAGAACTGTTTTCTTTACTCTCTGAACAAGAATTTTTTTTGTCTCTCTTTTTTTTGACTGACATCACTTTCGTAATGTCCTTTTTGGTTACATCAATAGCCAAGGGACTGAGGAAGTCCTGAGGTCATGTTTAAACTTAATCTCCCAACCAGCAGTGGGTTGTATTACTGCCAAAATAGAATGTCTCTGCTCCCAGTGTTTTTCAGATCCTTTTGCTGGGGATATGCTGCTCAACGTTTTTATGCAGTGCTTTTCTGCAACAGTCATTGAGTCTTCATATTAATGGATACTTGCACATGATGTCTTTTCATCTGATCTGAACATTTATTAGTAGTTTATGTTCAGAAGACCTAAGACTTCTGTTTTTGATGCAATACCTTTGTAAGACACCTAAAAATTCTGCAACCCATTGCAAGAGGCACTTGTATTCTTCATGCAAAAGCTGACCTTGCTACACAGAGATGTTGCTGGGGTTTATGCAATGCACCAGTTTTCAACCACTTTAAATTTTAGGTAATAAAATTGTACAGCTGAGCTATAGATGCTAGATCCAGTCTGAAAACAGTTGTGCTAGAGAAGCATTGTTTTAATACTTTGATGTTTACATGAAGAAGAACCAAAATTGTCATTGATAAATTTGGGAATATCTTTTCTATTATATTTTCTATATAAGAAGCTATGATTTTATGAAAAATAAACAATGCTTTCAGTTTGACCTTTTGCAAACTTTAGCACTGCTGGAAATCCAGTGCTTGTAGGAAAACAAAGCATATGTATCTGTCCACTCCATCTCAGCAATATTTTGGCTGAAAATGGGTAGTGTATTCAGTTTTTTGTTTAGTTGTTGAGATTTGATGGTGGTGACATAATGTTGGTATTTATGAGCATTTCTGGTTTTTAGTTGGTTCCCATGGTAAAGCCTCCGAAGAAACTCCTCCATTTTTTTCGTCATGCAGATAAAGAATACTGTGGGCAACAACAGCTGTGTTGCCTTCCAACTCAGCTGTAATGGGTCAGAGATTTATTTAAGAAAAGAGTGTATCTTTTCACTAGTTCTGAGAGCTTTGCACTCTGCAGAGGATAACTTGTGTCCCTGCTTTCAGCATCTCATTTGTGGGGGTAAAGGGGATCCTGAAGGTCACTGTACCACAGAGTTTTTACCAGTCAGAGATGGATTTCTGGTGCTGTCTAGTTACAAGCTGTGGAGAAGGCCTATTGTCAGTTTGAAAATTCTTTTATTGAAAGATACAGCTGACTTAGCCCGGAGTCTTGTGAAGACATGTGAGTGTATGGCTGTTTACTTCCTTAGATGCTGAGCGCTGGAGTGAGGTAATATTTTATAGAGTAAAATTCTCACCAGCCTTTCTCTTCTGTGCCTCTGTTTTACAGGAAGCTCAGGGTACTGCAGCTGATGCCACTAAAGAGTTAAATCATCTGCACACTAAGTGTGCAGACAGAGAGACTTTAATAGAAACTTTAAAAATGGAGCTACAGGATGTACAGCATTGCTGGGAGAAGGAGAAAGTGCATGCCACAGAATCTGAAAATGAAATCCAGAAGCTTACCAGGGCTTACCAGAAGGATATGGAGGTATTACTGGAGACAAGATGACTGTCAAAGAGTCTTTATTTAATCTCAGCTTTATACATTTACATGCATCAGGCGGTTACTCTTAGTCTTAACAGATTTATCCCTAAAATATGATTTTAAGATACGTATTTTGAAATATGTGTTTAATATCTGCGGGATCTCAGGACGTATTGGTTCTTCTTTCTTCCTTATCAGAACTAATAGCTAAACCATTCCAGTATTTAGAATTTTTGAAAAATGAGTTTATTTAAAGAGCTACTTCTGCCAAACAATTACTTCTTTCTTTCAAACTGAAAATTACCAGAAATGTTTTACAATTGTAACATAAAATAGTATCATTGTCATGTGTTAATTACTGATTCACATGGCAATTGGTAGATAGCAAATGTGGAATTGAGGTAGTTTGGTGTGCATGCCACAAAACCTAGAGGTTCTTATCTGTTACCTGTTAGGTCATTGTGCTGTGCCACATGTGGGAGTGGGTTCACACTGTCTTATTTTAGGACTGTTCAGAACTCTCTCCTTATATGTATTCACAGATGTTAATTTGTTGTGTTTTCCTCCCGGTAAAGCAGTTCTCTAATAGCAATGGCAATGATACAGTTTATCGTAGTTGTTGTGCATATTGAGCTCATTACTTCCACAAATTTGGACACGGATGCCAACTGAGTAAAAAGGAAACATTCTTTCCACCTCTTTTACAGTCTGGTATTTAAATATGGTCCACATGAAGCAGCTGGAATTGTTACACACATCAGATAATGATTAAAATGAAGGAAACTAGAACCCTGGCTATATTGTAAAGTCAGCATGTCTACAACACTGTGGTTGCATTCAGCATGTGTGAATTGATTTGGGGTCTTGGAATCCCCTTTTTCATGCCAAATGAATAATTATCATCCTCAGTTCATCACAGCTCAAGCAAAAATGTAATGATGGTGGCACTGGATTTTCCTTGGGGGCTCTGGAGTTCTCTTAGAAACAAAGTTTAGCAAAACTAAACTCCAATTTCTTTTTAATCACCAAAAATATCATGATATAATTGTGGGAAAATGCACCTAAGTGTAATGTATAAGGCTCAGAAAACCCCTAGTTTACCCTCTCTGTCATCCTCAATTTCTTAATATTAAACCTCATCCAAGGCCCCTGAAAAACAACAGGAACCTTTACAATGGTTTGCAGACTTTGTTCTTTTGACTTTTGAGGTACAGCTTTCTGTTGTTGTCTTAATCACAGTTGCTAAGTTGTACGCAGTAGAAGCAAGAAGGCTGGAATTTCTATTGCATGGTATTGTTGCTGAAGTTTATTTATAACTTGCATCAATTTATTATACTACTGACTGAAATCACTGTAAATGAATGAGGCATAGCTTGTGGAATTTAGCTGGTGAAGCTATAAGCCTGTTTTGTCTGGCAAATTAGTCTCGTACATAAGCCATACAAAAACAATTTTAAAAAGACTTTAGAGTGATTGTTGTATAAATGGTGTGTTGTGCTGCCAAGCCAATCAGACAATTTTCTCTGTGCTGTGCAGATGTTGAAAGTGGGTATAGTTTGAATGTAACTGAAAGTGTTAGCATGAATGAATGAATGAATGAATAGCATCTACTAATAGCATGGAAATTTTTATCTGTGTCAGGTCACAGTTGTGGCCACTGCAGGGCTGAGATTTGTTTATATACTCTATTTATATACTATGCCTAATTAGGCAGATTTTGTAAAAACTGTTTTCCTACTCTCACTTCAGTATGCATGACTGTAAATATTAGCAAGGAATTGAGGAGTTTTGAAAAAGGTTTGGGAAAGGGCCTTGTGGGCTTTTTTCATCTGCATACAGCTCATTTTACTACACATATGATGCATCTCTTACAATTCGAACACTGTTCAGATAAAACAGGTTTTTTTTTTCCTTTTTGTTTCAGGAGAAACTAACCTTTCTTCATAGCTTATACCAGCATTTGGTAGCAGGCTGTGTGCTTATAAAACAACCAGAAGGCATCCTGGATAGATTCTCTTGGTCTGAGCTTTGTGTAGTCTTGCAGGAGAATGTTGATGCCCTGATCTTAGACCTCAACAGGGCTAATGAGAAGGTAAGTGTCCTTAGGCACCAGCTACCTCTATTAAATTCAGTGACATTTGTCCACATCACAGTATCATTAAAAAGGACTGACATTCATCTTATTTCAAAAAGAATTTGGACGTTAATAATTCAATACCATTAATTATGGCTTGTCTACAACTCAGTTTGATGCCATTGCTGTGGGCATGTAAATGTGACTGAAGTCTGTATGAAGTCTCTAAGCTCCACTTTCAGTGCAGGACATGCTAATAGTATTAGCCAATATTAGCCACAGGGACCTAATTAAAAGAAAATAAATTAATCTTACTGATGAAGCAATTCAAAGAACTTAGTCATTTACACTAATAAAGCAAGTCTTTATTTTACCATAAAACAGAAACAAAATGCACTTACACCAGGAATATCATATTTAAATTATATATTTATGATTCAGAGGTACTATTGGAAAGAATGCCAGTGTGGGTTTTTGTTGAATTGTAACTTTTGGATTGTGAAATTGTATTCAGACACACAAATATAAAATACATGTTTTTACAAAATATGTCAGTATTTGTTATAGGGAGAAGCTATACTTCTCTGAATTATTCTAATGTGAGTAAGCTTATATGGCTTTCCCCCAGAAGTCCCTGCATTTTTAGGGAAGAAAAGACCTCTTTTTAAAGAAGTTAAACTGGCTCCACAGACTAACATGTGGCACTCTTTACCATGTCAGTTCATGTTCTGGCTCCACTGATCAGGCCAGTCCTACAGCCTAGTAGAGTGACTACAGAACTTGGTTTCTCAGACATTTTGCGGTTTTGAGGCATGGGAAGGGAGCAGCTCTTTTGGATGTTTCTCCTCTACTGGAATTGTGACCACTCTTCTGGTCCCAGTAAGGGATAGGGCTGGTTACAGTGAGTTATTTTAACTCTGCCCATCATTTAATAAATATCCCTGCAGTCAATTGAAATTACTAAAGAGGGAGAGTATAAAGTCTGGATTGTGCAGATTTGATGGACATTTCTGTTTTACTTTTGGAGTAAAGGAGGAAAGGGAAGAGAAGGGAGTGAACATTGTTGGCAGTTGCTGGGGGTATTGTGTCTAGGGCTCTTTTCTCGTACTTGCTGGCATTTCAGGGATTTTGTGCAGTGTTGTTACCTGTGTGGCACCTGCTTTCTTAAGAACAAAATTTTTCTCCTGCATTTCTTGGTGACCTATTTGGAAGGTATCTTGATGATATTGTCTAGTAATAAAGTCTAGATCATTGTTACCTTGATTCATTCTTCTATTTATTTGTCTTGGGAGCTGGTGAGTCCCTTCATGCTTGTTGAAAACATGTTATAAACTAATGAGCTACTTGTGCAAAAAACATTCTGTACACTAAAATTTCCTGAAATTATTTTAGTACTTAATATCTGGAATGTCTTGGCTTTCCACAGAAACACAAAAAAAAATTAAATTAAACGATGTTTCTTTAATTATTATTTGCAATTCTTGCAAACTCCTAAAGGACCGGTATACTCAGATTGCTAATTTAGCAACACAAGATTTAAGTCACTTATGTTAAAAAAAAAAAAAAAAAAGAAAGGGAAGTGTCCAGTTCAGATTTTCAACAAAAAAAGCAACAAATATCTGCAAGGTGGTATAAGGATGGCAAACCTGAAACCAAATTTGTGTTCATTTTGTTGCATGATTCAGGTGAATAATCTGTCATGAAAGGTTTTAGTTTTAGTAAATACATTGAAGAAATTACAGTTCAGATTTTATACTGGAATACTCTGTGGTCAAGTTAACATGTGCAATTAAAGTTTTTAAAAAAAGTGTTTAGAGAGGTAAAAGAATTTCTTTTTGAATGCTTGTCACACAGATATCTCACCTAGAATATGTTTGTAAGAACAAATCCAGTGCTCTGAAGGAGCTTCAGCGGAGCCAGGAAGATGCTTTTAACAAAATGGCTGAACAGATGAAAGCACAGGAAAACTGCTGGCAGAAAGAAAAAAAGTATCTGGAACAGCAGTACTCTGGTCTCCTTGGGGAAGTTCATGCAAGGGCACAGGTATGGTGCTGTGAACTTCTGATTTTTTTTCTTGTAAATATTTAATGGATTATTTCAGTAGTTTAAGACCCTAACCAGCTTAAGGTTGCTTAAACTGAAAAAATCCCCAAACCTGTGCTAGTATTAACTTGATAACAAGAAATAAATAGCTTTGTTAAAACATTCTAGATGTGAATTGCCTAATTTGGCCTACAGTTGCTAGTGATTCTTTTTGGGAATGCTAAACCTGTAAGATTCAATTCATTTGTTTTAAGAATTATATAGGGCAGCAGTTAGATTTTCAGGGCCATGCTTTGCAAAGGCTATGTAGAGTAACAGTAATGTAGTGCTATTTGGGGATAAATTTAAGTGTAGAATCACATTCTGACTCCAAGAACCAATCAGCAGTTACAGTGGTAGATTTCAACAGTATTGAAGGACTCTGTTACACAGATACTATAGTTACCAGTGGCTCAACAGTGTAAAACTGTTGTCACTGATTGTTAGACAAATTATTTGCAATCTAGAAAGTTGACTCTTATTCTACAACCACTGTTCATTGTCTTTATAATCACATTCCTTTATACAGCTTTCAATAAAATGTGTTGTGAAACAGAGGAAATAAGATATGCCTTGTTATTTGTGACTGCCACCTGCAACTTCAGCAGAAGAGTGCTGTGTTTGACTCAGATTTTAGGCTAGGAAGTCTTTGCATGCTAAAAAATACATTTATGATGTATTCTTTTGAAAAAGCAATTTATGGAAATTTCTAAGGAATGAATTATAATCTTGTATATATTTTTGCTTGATGTTTACATTTCACATTGGATATTGGCAACGCTAAAAACACCCCTGTGAGTGGAGCAGGTGGCATCCAGACTCAAGTTCCCCCAACATCCTATAGTTTCAGCTTATGAAATCATTGCCAACAAAAAGAACAGTGAAATGAGAGAGCTTAATTTTTAGTTTTAAAAGTGACATTTCCTTCATAAAGAAAAAGTGGAGCTAATGCCATTTAGGTTTCTACCTCCTATGGATGCTGTGCAACAGAAAGGTCTGAGTCATTCAGAACTCTAGTGTTTTGGGAGAAATTGGTGCTGTGCAGTAGTGGACATTCTTTGGGAGGATCCTAAACCTGCCAGTCTTCTCAGCTGAATTGAGTAGGCAGCACACAGAGCATGTACTGAAAACATGTCTCTCTTTTGTGGAGTGCACATTCGGCATGTCTTTTAGAAAAGACTTTATCTCTCAATTTGCTGTACAGGACTACTGGGTTTCTAAAAGAGAAATGTGTTCCCTGAGAAACATCTGGGCATGTTTTCTAACGCAGGTTATGTAATGTTGGAGTACAAGCTGATAGTGTTGTAACTTAGGCAGTGCAATGTCTGTATACACTCAGATGACTCAGCAATCCCTTTTCCATCCTGTGTTCAAGTTTGCCCTCTGTGCTGGTTTGAAAGCAAACCGGTGAGAGACTCCGAGTCAGAAGTACAATTTAATATGAACAACACAACAAAACAACAACAAATGCAACAGTACAAAATATAACCTGACACCCTGTCAGTCAGGGTGTTAGTAGTACAATTAACTGGTGGCTGCAGTCCTCCTGGAGTGATGGGTTTGTTGGAGCAGTGATCCTGCAGATCCGGTCCTCTCCTGAAGGTCCAGCAGCAGCTCTTGTCCTCTGGGAATCCAGCAGGCAAAGGGCTTCCTGTACTTGTCCAAGCCCCAGTTTATATCCCTGTGAGCATGT